CTTCAAATGTTTGTGTTATCCATTTAAAAATATATGAAGAAACAACATGCAACTTTTATTATAACCAGAAAGATTTAAGCTAAGTTTAGGTATTTTATAGTTTAAACTTTGAAACACTAAATATGAATATGCAGAGCTAACACTTGCATCATTTTAAAACTTCTGTTGAAATCGTTTCGCATTTCTGACTAAACTACAAACAATAAGACAGTCTGCACAGAAATGAGGGAAGAAAACACATGTGTTTGCCCAAGCAGAATTTTCTGCATAAAAGGAATCCAAACAGTGCATAACCTTTTATAATCTATAATACATTTTCATATCAGTACATCAGAAACATGCATCCAACCGTAAGGAAATTTAACACTTACGTTAAATTAAATTTAAAATTAAATTGCCAAGTTGAAGTTCCTGGAGGGTATTCTCCTTGCTCATTCATAAAGGTCAATCCTAGTTGAATTATTTTTAGCAAGTCTACATTACATCGTAATAATTGGTACTGATAGTCTGCATTGCTTCTGAATTCTCCAATAGGCCTTGCAACTACACCTGGAAATTCTGTATCCTGCAAGGAGAGAGTTAAAATTTCAACAAAAGATTTTCCAAAAAAAGCTTATGCTGTTGATTCTTAATATCAAAAATATATTTCAAACATGTAATGATTTCATAGCTGAAAAACATTGTGTGTAACTGTAGCCTTAAAAAAACAGATTAGAATGTTGATGTTTATAAAACATTACCATTAATGCAGCATTAAGAATCCATTATTCTTTCAAGGAAAACAGGTAACACTTAAACAAGTTGAAAACCTTACTAAAAACTTACCAACATTAAATGAGCTCATCATGCTTTTGTGATAGTGTGCCAGATAAAGATCAAGTGCCTACTTACCATAGCGACATAGTTATACTTCCGTATAACTTGACGAATTTTCTTCATCTCTTCGTCCAAGTTACAAGCCCAAACTTCACAGATTCTTTGACTATGGTCTACGGTAGCTGCTGGCATAGTGGGGGGCTTTAGAGACCATACATCAAAAGTTATACTTGACTGGGGATCAGTTTCATAAAGAGGGCTTTAATTTTTTTTACCTAGGAAACAAAGAAAGGAAGGCATTAAACATAAGTTTCTATTCCTTATTTATGGAAAAGAAAAAAAAAACATAAACACCTGAATCAAGCTTCTCTCCTCAAAGCCTCATAAAAAGCACGCAACTTGGCCACCAAAGCCATGTGAATTTCAGTTACAGCAGTACAGGTGTTGGTCAAAACCAGAACTTTGATTCCGTTAGTCATTTTATCACTTGCACAAAGCCAGGCAAATCAGCAAGGTGCGCTAGCTCAACAGAGGAAAAAAGACACCTGCACTCAGGGCCGAGCCCACGAGTGTTATTCCCGCACGGGTTAGAAGAACACGTTCCTTCAGACTGCACAGCTGCCCGTAACACGAAACGAAGCGGCAAAGTAGCGCTGCACCAAGCTCAGGGAGAAACTAGAAATTCAGTTCCCCAGTCACAGAGCCTTATTTGGCAGGAGAAAGTCGCTTTAGCTCACACGGGGAACTGATCACGCTAAACCGGAGAGGGTCACAGACGGAGACGGCCCCGGTCCGCAGCACTCGGCTCCAGGCCCCAGCCGGTTTCCCAGCGGCGTCCTTAGGCGCACAAGGCCCCAGGGGCACCCCAGGGAGCCGCTAAGCCTTCCCTCGCCAGCGCAACAAGCGGCTTCCCCCG